TACAACTATGGATGCCTGTGTTTTTGCTAAAAACTTCACTTCATGTTGTTGCCATGCCAAATAATGGCTGAAACTACCATAGGCAAAGAGGGAAATTTTGTATCTGTAAACTATTCACAATGGACTGGAAGAAACTTTGTAAAATTTAACCCTTAGAGTGTCAAAGTTACTTTTTTACAAAATTATATCCATATTTTTTTTTTTTAATTTTAAAGTTCTGCATCTAATAAGGAATTATCTGCATTTGTTCCAAAATTATGATAATATTTTTTTGGCATCAAATTTTATGACTCAAAGGGGTAGCTATCATATTGTGAAAACTTATTGCGGCGCACTATATCAGTTCACAATATTACTTTATTTGAGGAAGTTCAATTTACCAGTTCACTCAGCAGCTTTCAGTATTCTTAATATTTCATATTCAGTTGTAATTCCCATGTTGTATTTCAAATTTATGTTCTGTTGACAGTACTTTGTAGCATGTTTGTATTTCATTACTGTTTGTGTATGTTCTTGTTATTCATGGAGTGTCTTGTGTCTGTTTTTATTCTTGAATGCTGCCCTCTATCATGCATGCAGAAATTTCAAATCAAGTGTCGCTATTATATTCAATTTTTCATTTAACAAAAGAAAAACAACAGTTTTTATCACGTTTGCATGTTCATTTTTTGAGAGCCGTTTGCCGAATGTGTAAAACAGTAATCAATCAACCACTACCTGATGTTCTCATGTGACAGGTCTACCCCATGTTACCTAAGTAATGGTAATAAGTAACTCCTCTCATGTAGCTCATCTAAAATTGAAATCACAGAGACTCAGTGCGCTGTCATCTTCCCAAAATATACCAGATTTTAGTGCCATGATGGATCCTTTTTGTGACTTAAATCAACTGTTACAATTCTCGCGTGTGTTGATCTGCTGCAATGTTCATCAATGAGTTACATGCCCTTACTTATGAACCCTTTGTTATTATACTTTTGTTCCATTCAATGTCTAAGCCTTAAGAGGATACTGTGGAATAATTTATTTTCGCTGGGATTAATTTTCGCTGAAAAGGCCTTTTGGGCGTTTTGTATGGAATTTATTTTCACTGATTTTTGATGAGTTTACTGTGAAATATATGAAAAAAAGTATATTCGCTGCATTTTATTTTCTCGGAATCATCCCTCCAGCGAAAATAGCGAAAAATAAATTCCAAGTGAAAATAAAGTATTTTACAGTATATGAATTAGGTGTTATCCCACTATACAAGTTATGTGTTATGGCTGATCCTCAGGTGCCGTGAATGGATACTAGTATCCCTGCCAATGAGTGTGATAGTTAAAATCTTAAAATTTCTTCTTCAGAATCTGTTATCTGAACTGCAGAACCGTGAGGGTCAGTTCAAAATAATACAGAATAATGGACAACAGCTTGTCTTACATAGCCATCCAGCATCACAGACTATTGAGGTACCGTATACATAATTTGTTTCCCCACCAACATTTTTTCTAATTTTCTCAAATTTTGTCTAATTTTAAACCAGACTGTCAAAATTTGACATATGGCTTTACAGATTCAGGTTGAATGTTTTAAATATTTTATTCCACAATTCAGAAACATGGAATTAAGTAACAGCTGTGTAGGGACAACAGTTTTGTCACCTTTCCTAGCATATTTTCATTCTATTCAAATCATTTGCCAGTTTAAAATTATCCTTGATGTTAGTTTTGTTCATCTTGACAGGTTGACTTCACCCGTGAAGTGCCCTCTTTTGATTTGTTCCAAAAATACTTTTGTTTTTATGAGCAACCATATCATTGTTAGCTTTTGTTTATCACATACTGTACTCGTCTGACTCAGTGCTATGCTTGACGAAGCGTTCAATCTCCACTTTTGGGGCATTTCTATTTCAAGTCCAAGTTTGACTAATCGCCCATCCTTTCCAAAATGTTCAAAATTTTGACTGTCTAGTCATAAAGACTAGTCTTTGAACATTGTTTGACAAACATCGTAATCAAAATTATATAATACAGCATGGATATCGAACGCTGTGAATATCATGCAAATGCCTATACCATGATAATCATGGTAAACTATGCTTCACAATAACTTGCAAACTTGCTCACCTTCAAATATTTAAAAAAAAAAAATATACTGTTTTGTTATTAGGCATATTTACAGGCGATGACCTCACAGTGGGAATGGCTGTTACAGCTCACCATATGCCTGGAACAACACCTGAAACATGCCGCAGCCTATCATCAGGTAAGTTGTCTGATTATCCGATGAACTTTGACGCCTTCAGGTGTATAATATCTGTATGTGTATTTAGTGGTTTTTTTTGCTCACAAGAGTCACTAATTTTCGTTTGCAGTTTTATGGAGATGCTCATGGATGCGAACAGTGGTTGAGTGACCAAGCAGAATTATTAAACCGAAAATATGACAGATCGGATTTATCACTTGAAGAAAGTACCGATCTCCTTCAGGAACTTTTTGTGAGTATAACATCAATAACACTGCCTTCTATAGTTAAATTCAATTTTCTTTAGAGGGGGTGTGAATGGTATCTCTTTATGAATATTTATCTTTCATCTTGTCAACATCTTGACTGCTCCATGCAAACAGTTTGCATATTCAAATATAGTAATAATTCATCCAATTTTTGAGCATCAGTAAGGTAAAAGCAAAATATCATGCAAACTTTGAAAAAAAAGTGTAATAAGTTGCTAAGGATCTGAGTAGTAGTTTCCCTAACTTTATTTGTGTTGTTTTTTTCAACAGGAAATGAAGGAAAAACTTATGGAGTACAAAGATGTTGTTAGTGATTTGGTAGTTAGAAGTAAACATATTGTTCCTTTAAAACAAAGAAAACAGTATCCTGAAAACTAAGCTTCCTGTCACTGCCCTTTGTGATTATAAACAGATGGAGGTAAGTGGAAAATGCTTTGTAAGTCAATTTGTCGTCTTCCACAAAATAAAGCTTGTAAATTGTAATCAGATTTTTCTGAACAAATTCAATTTATCAAGACCTGCAGCAAATATAAGATTAAGTTCATTTGTTCCAAAATTAACAAATAATTTATCGAAAAATCAAAAAATACATACAAGTGTAGAAAAATGTTGCATACAATTTTTGGCTGAAAAAATTATTGTACTTAAACTGTTAATTGATCTTTGATTTTGCAAATACTGTAGAATAATAATGTAGAAATACTTTATTTTCGCTTGGAATTAATTTTCGTTATTTTGCGTTGTTCCTATATTTTACGATCAGCCCATCAAAAATCACTGAAAATAAAATCCATACAAAACACCCCAAAATTCTTTTCAGCAAAAATGAATTCCAGCTGAAATAAAGTATTTCACAATACTTTCTTTTCGCTTGGAATTAATTTTCGCTATTTTTGCTGAAAGAATGATTCAGTGAAAATAAAATCCAGCGAATTCACTGTTGTTCCTATATTTTACAATCAGCCCATCAAAAATCTGTGAAAATAAATTCCATACAAAACACCCGAATAGTCTTTTCAG